ACTACACACACACTCTACTACACACACACTCCACACACATACACACTCTACTACACACACACTTCACACACATACACACTCTACTACACACACACACTCCACACACATACACACTCCACTACACACACACACACTCCACAATCCACCACACACACTCCACTACACACACACACTCCACTACACACACACTCCACTACACACACTCCACACTCCACCACACACACACTCCACAATCCACCACACACACACACTCCACTACACACACCCCCCCACACTCCACCATACACATGCACACCCCATATTTAATACACACTCCACGCTCCACACTCCACACACATCACACACTCCACACTCCACGCTTCACACCCACTCCACACATTCCACACTTCACCACACACACACACTCTCCACAGTACAGCACATATGTGCACGTGCACACACACACACGTGGACATCAGAGCTCCAGTGAAGCACGTGTAGACTGTGAAGAAGTCACTCTGCCACAAGCAGAGCTGACGCAACATCACAGACACATCTAGTGACCGCAGACGTGTAACTCCAACTCACAATGTGCTCAACCCCAGGAACAAGGCCAGCACAGCAGGACTGGCTGCACCATGCAGGCAAAGCAGTCTCAGAGTTCCCCTGGAGGTGCAGGGCACAACTCACAGGGCATGGAGAACGGTGTGTGGGACTCCAGCAAAGCGGTTAGGCTTGGTTCCCTACACGTCTGAAGACACATTCCCCAAGGAAGAGATCATTTGCAAAAGCTGACCCTCAATGAAGGTGTCCAGCGAGTCTCAATCAGCTCAGAGAGGGTGACTGCTGAGTTCTGGCCACCCTGTTCCAACCTCTGAAACTAAGCGCAGACTCAGACAAAGAGTAAGTTTGATACATACGTTTGGAATAGTTAAAACACCTGGCTAACGGGGTCATATACGAAATTGTCAGGGAAACCAGAAAACATTCAGAACTGAGACAATGAAAATCGTGCATATCAGAAGAGTCAAGGAACAGCTAATCCCACGGGCAGTGACAGGGCCTGGGTCCCCACACCACATCACTAGCAGAGAGAGGGAGCCTGGGTCCCCACATCACTAACAGAAAGAGAGAGGGAGTATAGATAAAAAAATCTCGCTCCAAGAAACTAGGGCAAAAACTAAACCCATGAAAAACAAAGAAGAATAGAGAAGAAATGAATACAATAGGAAAGAAAACCTTAAAGGGACCAATCAACCAGGTAGAGCGCTGATTCTGTGAAAGGCTCGTGAAAATCCAACCCTCTATAAACCTTCATGGAGGGAGAAGACGTCAACCCACAAGATACAGACGAGGCAGGGGTACAAATGCAGCAACTGAGCAGACTGAACATGGAGTGAATGAGGGCCTTAAACAACTTCATGGCCACGAACTTGAAACCAGAGAAAGTGGATATTTTCCTGGAAGAATGCAATCTAATTTATGGAGAATTGACGACTCTCCAAGATAAGTAGGAATAGATCCAACAAGAGACGTGCAAGACAACAACAGAGAAAATAAAAAAAAACCAACCAAAAAGCAACACTGTTTCAAGATAACAATGTGAGAGACTGAGCAAGTGGAGGCTGAAACTATGGAGCGGAAATCCCTGTATCTTAAAAATGTCCACTGACTTCAGAGGAAGTACAGAATTGAAATAGATCAATTTTTTAAAAGACATTGAGCCGGTCGTTAAAATCTTCCCACCAAAAACAAAACAAAGCAAAACAAAAGCCCACAAAGTTTCATAGAATGACCTCATGCTGAAGCGATCCTTTGGATTGCAGAGATTGTTTGACCCCAGAGACTGGACTGAGGTAGGAATTTCTGTTCATGCACAAACAGTTCAAAAGATTGAAAAGTTGCATAGAGAGATAATGGATGGATGGAGAGATGAGAGATGAGAGATGAGAGAGAGAGAGAGAGAGAGAGGCAGGCACATGTCCACAGATAGAGGTTACTCTTACAGGGAGGGGAGATCTTGGAAGATTTGGTCCTAACAGCCTACAAACTCCATCCTGAAGAGTGAAATGTTAGAAGATTCCCTTTTTAAGATCAGGAATCAGTCACTATGTCAACCTTCAGTCTCTAGTGTCCATTGTCCAGGTGTGCCAGCCAGAGCTGTGAGACAGGAAAGGGGGGGGGGGACAGTCTACATGACAGGCAGAGAAGAGACAAAATAGCCTTACTCGCAGACGCCTGGTTGTCTACAGGGAAACCCAAGAGAAGCGAAGGTGGTCCAGGTTTCAAATTGATAGAGCTACAGAGTGGCCAGATAGGAACACAATATCTGCACATCAGATGCCTCCTTGTTCACTGGTGTGGGAGGGCTGGAGAGCACAACTTTTAAAGCCAACATTTCCACTGGAAACTCTCAAACCTAAGAGAACTGAAAATGTGCTTGGTAGCCACCAAGCAGATGCTGACTTGTCCCACCCCGACGTGACAGAGCGAGGCCACTCTGAGTGCTGGGTGCATTCGATCTGCCAGTCTTTCCACCAGCAGCAAGGCCCGCAGCCGTTCAAGCACCAGGACCCCTGATGCCAAGAATAAACCCGGGGGAACGCGCGTGACCATCACAGAGCCGAAAGCGTCAGCAGACGCTATGCCTTTCCCTCCGCCGGCCGCAGCCGACCCGCCGGTGGTCGCAGGCGCTGGGAGGTGCACGGGGAGGGGGTGCCCAACTCTCTTCTGCTGAGAAGCTGGTGGGTTCGAATCACCGGCATCTGTGTTGGCAGCACGATCCTTTCTAGTAAAGAAACCCAAAACTCTTTAATATTTCCAGAAGAATAAGGCTCAAAATCTTAAAAATTCCAGTACTCTCTCCAAATTAATCTACTAATATATACAGAGCCACCC